CTCTGCTACCGAATTTGGTTATTAAATCTAGGAGTCTTTCAATGGGAATTTTTGGGTCTTCTATGTAGAGTATAATGTCATTCACAAATCATAATGATTTCACTTTTTTAATATTTTTATTTTTTATCTTGTTTCAAAGTCTAATTGCTCTGGTCAATGTTTCCAGAACTATATTGGATGGGAACAGTAATACAGTAATAGTGTTCATCCTTATCTTGTTCCTGATTTTAAAGAGAAAGCTTTCCATTTTTGAACATTTAGTACAATGTTGGCTGTTGGTTTGTCAGAGACGATTTTATCAAATTGGGATATACCTTCTGTTCCAATGTTCTTAAGGGTTTTCATTATGAGTATATGTTGCACTCAGTCATATGCTTTGTCTGCACCTATTGAGATGATCATGTGGGTTACTTGCTTCCTTTAGTGTTTTGTATCACATTTATTTACTTGCTTATGTTGAACTGTCCTTACATCCCTGGGATGAATCATCCTTGCTTATGGTGTATAATCTTCTTCACTCTTTGCTATTTTCTCTTTGCCAGTATCATATTGAAAATATTTTTGTATCTATTTTCACAGAGACTTTCTTGTAGTTCTCTCTTTTGGCTGGCTCATCCTCTGATAGTGCACTCAGGATAACACCTGCTTACAGGAATGAGTATTACAGTATTGCCTCCCTTTCACTTTCTTTAAAGATTTTAAGAAATAATAGCACTTGACATTCTCCAGTGTGTTTGTAGAATTCCACAGTGAACCCATCAGGACCAAGTATTGCCTTTTTAAAATGTTGTCCTGGATAGTTACCTTTTCCTAATCAGCCTAACTTTTTTTTCTTTTTTTTTTTTGTTTTTCTCTTTCTCTATCTCTCATTGGGTTTATTGGTACATTTTAGGGATACAGTACAGTTACATTCATCATTGGGATCTTGTACCTTTACATGACAGGTCTTGGTTCTCATTTTATCCCCTTGTCCCTGCCCTGCCTTCACCCCTTCCTAACCTCCCCATTTACAAGCACTTTATTTCCACTTTTTTCTACCTGCCCAAAGTAGTCTGAATAAGATAATGGGCAGAAATACACTGTTAAAGCTCTTGTCCCCTTTCTACCTCTGGATGCCATGAACTGTTTCTCCTCTAAAAGTCCCATGTACCACACCAACCTGCCTTGGAACCTGTTGATTATCTACTGAATCATCAACAAACTGTAAGCAAAATAGATCTTCCCCTTTTAACTTTGGTTTGGGTATTTTGTCTCAGCAACAACAGAAAAGTAACTAACACCCATGCCCATACTCACTATGTTCTCATTCATATCCACTCTCCTTGTCCTCTTCCAATTTAAATTTGAATTCTGTCACCACCACCTCTGTTTCTGAGACATAGAAACAGTGGTTACTATGTCTGTGACTCAGCATTTCTATGCATTGATTGTATTCAATAGAATTGCACTGAGAAAGGATTAATAATGGTTGTTTCTCACTTTATTAAGAGGTAATCAATGTGTATTATAAGGGCAAACTCAAATTTGGATGATTTTATTAGCAATAGTAATAGGATACTACAATTCAACTAAAATATCCTGGGGTCCTATGTTGACATTTTCCTTTTTCTTAGACCAGGTGTGTTTGTTAGATATTTTTGTATAATTATATGCATAAATAATGATAGAATTAATTAAAGTTCATTTATTTCTAGTTTTTTGATAATGTTCCTACCCTAGCACTCAAGAAGTGTTAAAAATTAAAACATCTGGTAACATTGATTGGATCCTTTTTTTACTTCACAAAATTAAGCATAATTACTATGAATTTATTCCAATTGTGTTTTGCCATCTGTACTATCATCTTGTGCAGAAAGATCCCATATAACTAGAAACAATTTATAATACTTCTCTGTGTCTAGTCATGCAGAATTGAGGGAATTAATTTTATGTGGCAACATCTACACCTGATTTCCCATAGATCACAGCAATGATTTTCTTGGACACAAAACAAAAAAGCGATGCATAAAAAGACTGGTGTAGAAAAATGTGTAAGTCAGGCTGAGGCATGTTCTCTATCATTCTATGTTTCAGTGCCTTGTGACAAGTGTAATTATCTATAAAATTTATATTTCTATAATGATGAAAAATTAAAAAAAACTCACAATGACTAAATGTTTCCATTCTAAATTTCCCTCATATGCACATAAATTATGGATATGTTTTTTTTTTCTCTTTGTTTCTTTCAAGCAGTAAGAGAGGAATCAATTGCTTTCTGTGTATCACATCAGGTCAATAATGTGGCTCTACAATGTTTACTTTCTAACTGGTGTACCAGGACATGTATTTACTTATGGGCCAACTGAAAAAATTATTCCCTACATGAAATGAAATTTATTGGTCAATCATCATGCCAGTATTACGGCGTTACACTTCAGGGATGTTTTTAAGTGTTTCTTAACAGTAAAGTGATGTAATCAATAAGGACTGATTTTTTAAAGGGGAAAATGTGATTAACTGTAAAAAGTATAAACACATCAATTATTGGAATTCTCTAGCAATATATTGTTTGGCATTCTCACTCACATTATCTTTAGATGTGCACAGGAATTTGAAAATGATTTTCTTAATAGTAAAATTAGAGAATAAATTTTGTTTCTTTCTGCTAATATAGTGCATTATGTAAAAATTTAAAGTAGTTCTATATTCTTCATAAAGAGATGTAAATGCACAATTTTATGTAAATTAGTATGTGTCAGGGACAATAGGGGTTGTGTTGCATACTACTTAGATGAGCTTTAGGTATATTTTAAATACATTTTCTGAGAAATCTCTGTTTATTTCAGATGTCTATTTCTGGACTGGGCCTTTAAAGTTGGGAGGTCTGATTTTTTTAAATTCTTTATTTATTCTACAGAGTAGAGTTTTGTCTGAGGAAAAGTTGGTGAAAAATTCTTCCTACATTGTGGGTTGTCTCTTTACAGTGTTCATGGTTTCTGTTGCTGTGCCTCTGACCACCAAACCTGCAAAGTCATGTACCAGTCAATAGCTAGTTTGCTCCAAATTTGATGGAGATAAAGGATTGGATAAGCATAACCAGAAACGTTGTTTCCTCTTCATGAGGATGAGTATAACAGTTTGAGTATCCAGACTTCAGGATATTCATGTGTAACATTTCAGTTCTGAGCCATTATAGATTTTATGTTCTGATTTTTGTTCAGGTTGAAAAAAGTCTAATTAAAAATTAGTTCTTAGTTCCTGTTTCTACTTCCAACAGGCATCACTGCCATGTTATTAGAAGTTGTACTGCCAGGTTGTTTCTAGAGCATGATGAACCCCTAAAATGTGGAGATAAGGAAATAGAGGACTCTGAAAGTAATCATAATGTCATGAGGTTCCGAGATTTTGTATTTCTCTGTGCTCCTTTCATTTCATCTCTGTGGTCTTTGTGGAGTTACATAAAAGTCAAATGTCTATTATTTCAATGATTATAA